GGCCCAAGTTTTTAAATTGCAAAAATGATGTTTTCCACGAATTAATTAATTATATTTCACAATCATTAAATTAAATTAAATATTAAACTGTAATATAATATAATTAACCTACCCACCCCATCTCCATCTCCTCAACTGCTCCGATGACTACTTAGGTGACCAGCGCCTACTCCGACGACTATTCTAGTGACCGTTCCATCGCCGCTTAAATCCGGTAACTACTCCGATTCCGATGTCAACTTATCAAATCAATTGGTCACAGATTATTTCGAAATCACAATTGACTCCATTGGTCACTGATCAAAAAAATTATAGGTCACAAATTTTTAATGACCACAAGTTAAAAAAAATTATGGTTATGGAGATCACATATTTCCAAATCTGTTGGTCACATATTTTATTTTCAGTCACAGATTAATAAATTTTAAGGTTACTGACCACATAGTTGGTCACATACACCCAAACACCTGTTGCCCAATCCTAGTATACCACCAATATTTGGTCACAGATTGACCAAATAGTTGATCGCAGACACTCTTCATCTCATCTGCCCGCTACCTCCACTGCCACAACTACCCACCAACAATAACACCACCAACACCCACCACCATCATCGCCTACATAGCACCACGATCATCGTCGCCCCGTCACAACACCACTACAACCACCGCCATAATAATAAATCATTGGTCACAGCCACACCCAATCTCATCTCATCCTGCCACGACCATCCCATCGCCACGCACACAACAAAAATCACAGTTAACACCAAATCCCCAAAACAAATCCCCAAATCCATCAGTACAATTACAAACTAACTATTCTGAGAAATTTTCTGCATTGGCAAACCTCACCACATAACCACTGCCAAGCCACATCCACCTACAACAGGTCGATCGCGACGTTGTTGCCAGCGTTGCAGTAGCGTCGCGACGTTGATGTAATTCATAGCATTGTTGCGACGCCAGCAGTTTAGTGGGGTAGGTGGTATGGTGGATATATAGATTAATTTAATTTAAATTATTAATATTAATTGTAAAATTAAAACTTGATTCTTGATTAAATAAAGTATAAACCCGTTTTTCAAAAACTTGAAACCAAACAACTGGTTTTATTTAATTTTCCCATTAATAAAACATTTTGACCAATCAAAATATTTAACTTTTACTTTTGACAAGTTAAGTGATGGATAAAAAAAATTAAATCAGATGTTTAGGAATATAATTAATATAAAATTTCATTTATAAATTTATTATATTTCTAATTTTGTTCCCAAAATATGGTAATTTAAACAAATTAAATCAGATGTTTAGGAATTAAATTTTGTTTATAAATTTATTATATTTCTAATATTTTTCCCAAAATATAGAAATTTAAACGGTATTTTCTCTCTCTCTCATTTTTTTTTGTTGCAATATAGAGTGAGTGAATTTTCACTTGGTTTGTACTATGAAAAATAATCATTATCTTTTCATTTACATGATCGAAAGTCTACAAATTCGTGCTCACAAACTACAATGTAGAAGGGATACGACGCATACTAGTCATATATTGTTAAACTACTCGTCAAATGTCACAAGTGTCACATTTGACAACCACTGACGTCTATATGAACAATCGTCGCATAAAATTGTAACAATTCTATGAGAATCACAGTTATTTGTAACATCTCACATGAATTCATGATATATGATTTAGTCGTACTTATATAATATAGAATGAGTTGTGGTCAAAATTGTTTTTTGTTAATCAATCATATAGATCACAACGATGACACATGATCACATGGTATAAGGAGTCACGTGACCTATAACAAATGTCACAACATATCTTCAACGTTCCTCTATTGCAATATCTACACATAATTTGTAGAATTTCAATCGATGATGTCGCCGACCATTTTTGTTTAAGAGGATAACTATTAGCTATCTTGTGGGGATAGATTTAAAAGAAAGAAATTATTTTATATACTAGTTCTCATATGAATCTTCTAATTTAGAAAACCTACCAAATCTGTTCCAATACATAATATTTTTAAAATAATATTTTATTATGACATGATTGTTGCAATTTACAATGTTTTTCATTTCCCAAATGTAACATATTTTTTTTCTAATAAATATGTAACTATTTCATTATATCTAATAACATACACGATTATAATAAAATAATTGTTTAAACATATGCTTTAAAATAAACCTTATGAGTAAATCGATTATAATTATATTAATCTGCACAAAATATTGTAACATTTGTTCATTTGAACAAAATGTAGATAATTAGAAATGGAATATAAGAGAGATTTGACGGGGGAGTTTTGAATAGTTGAGATTTGTACATGTAAATAATATAGAAGATGAGATAGTAACAAAACACTTTGGCGGAAGAGAAAATTTATCTTTGTAGTAAGGATTATGGGGAGAATGTATAGATTTAAACAAGTTAAAATTAGGTGACTCGAGTTCTGTCTACCAATATGTTTTAGAAATTCAATTTCATTTTTAATTTAAAAATACATTTTCTTAATCTATCACTCCATCTATTTGTTAATTTTTTTAAATTATTATGCAATATTTAGTTATTTAATTTTGATATGTAATTGTTGAATATTTCAAAAATAAACCTATAATTTTTAATGAGATTAACATTTAAATAAATGAAAAGTCAATAAATAGTTTACATGAAATTAATTGTATATGCTGTGTGAATTAAGAATTTATGTTAAAGGATAATATATTCTAACTTTTTTTTTTTACTAAATATGTGATTAATGTGAATTTTATAATGAATAAACTTGATTTGACAGTTTATGGTTCGATTTTTTTTTTTGTTTATTATAATAATTGTTTGATCACTATTTAAATTGAATTGCACCTTTAACGACAATCGATAGTGTAAAATTATATTCAACTTTTTTTTCATAATATATTTAAGTTTCAATATAAGAGCTAATGATGTTTATTGATAAGTGTATTTTGTACACTTTTTCAGCGGTCTAAAATATCAATATTTGATAGTTCTTTTGACAAAATATATCTTAAATTGTTGCATGTTATGTTAAATAAGTAAAATTCAATGGTTGAACGAGGAATTAGAAGAAACAAAAGAAAAATCAAGAAAAAATGGCAAAATCCAAAGTTTGAGGACCAAATTAAAAATATTCAATAGTTGATTCGGATCACAACATGCTTTGAAGATTACTAGGAGACAATTGGATGTGATTATAACTCAAAATGAATGGAATATGATCAAAATCAATTTCTAATCGTACAAGTTATTGTCCAGATTTTTAGTCGAAAATTGAGACTCATGTTTGGCATAGTAAATGTCCGAATTGAAAAAAATTATACTTCTAGCAATGTTGTAACCATTTGAGTTATCTTTTCAATGCATTTTGAATTGTCTCAATCGAATATCAGAAGAGAAAGTTATGGCTAAAATACCGAAAGCTATATAGAGACAAAAAATTCGTACGCGAATGCTACTTTCCTTTTTCGATTTGAACTCTTTTGTAAACCAATTTGGAGTGATTTTCTACCAATTTTCTATTCCTAAAAATACCTAACATCAGAATACATATTGGAGACCTCTCATATACATCTCATTAGGCCTGGGCACAGTTCGGGTTAGGTCGGTTTCAACCCCAACCCGAAACCAAAAACGACTAAGTTGGTTTGGATAAATTCCAACCCGAAACCGATTCAATCAAGCTCTTAAACCAAACCAACCCAAATTGAATCGGCTTAGATCAATTCGGTTCGGTTAGTTAGTTTTGTCTTTGGCCTAAAATGAATTTAAAGGAAAAAAAACTTTAAAGCTTTTGGGCTCAATTTGAGTACACCTAATCATTTTTTTAACACAAATCCATGACATGTTATTAATGCACAATTTTGCAATTAACACAAATCCATAACCAGTAAGCTGTAAATAAAGCGAATTTATAACCTATTATTAACACACAATTTTACTCAAAGTAATAAATTAGATTTTGCACCCATTTTACACCATAAATCAAAAGAAATTGAAAGAGCTAAATCGTGTAGTACTTAAAAATTAAAATTTG